AGGAAGGCCTCGCTAAAATGCCTGGTGTTTCACCTCTGCTGGGGCTGGAGGGAGACTCCAGGTGCTTATCTAACTCTGACTTTTAATTTTATTTCCACCTTAATAGCTTGGCCCTCTCCAGTTTAAATAAACACACAGAAGCTGTCGTTTACTACAAAAAAGCCCTGGAGCTGGATCCAGACAACGACACGTACAAATCAAACCTTAAAATAGCTGAACAGAAAATGAAGGAGACTCCTAGTCCAGTAAGTTCTGAAACTGATGCTTGTTACTTGTGGGTAAGGTGAGGAGGAGGCTGCTTCACCGCGAGTGGTTAGAATACAAACCTGGTGTGCAGGCAGAGGGGAGATAGTTAATGAGTCCTGCTGCGAACATTTCCAGTGAAATCCAGAGAGGGTGACCTCACTGCTTGAGCATAATCACCTTGGGCTTGTTTGAAAGAGCTGGAAAATGAGACTGATTAAAAGGGGTGTTTTGAAACAGCAGTTTTGCCTTAAGCACCTTTTTTTAATTAAAGTCACTACTCCTGAAATCCAGCTTTTTTTTCTTCCCCTGGTGACCTGATAGCAATACCAAAAGGGCATTTGAGTGGGTTCCAGCTGGACGTGGCTGCTGACATCTACCCTGTGGCTCTCTGTGAGCCGTGTGGCATCTGCCCTGTGGCTCTCTGTGAGCCCTGTCCCGGAGGCTGGCTGTGCCTCGGGGCTTCACAGGAAGGGTGTGGACAGAGCCTCTTCCCTCTGTCATGGTGTAAGGGGCAGATTCTGATAAAAGTGGGAGTAAAATACTGATGTTCATTGTGATGTGCACCAGGAGGATGTCATAATCCGCGTGTGGTTTCTTTCTTCTTGCAGACTGGAGGTCCGGGAGGATTCGATTTGGCTGGCTTGCTGAACAACCCCGGCTTCATGAGCATGGTAAATCTGGCCGCAGACGGCAGCCGGGCTGTGCCTGCTCTGTGCGTCCGTCTGCTCAGGGTGGAATGTCAGTACATGGCTTGGGGAGCTCCTGTCCCCTCTCTAGCAGATTTCTCATCATTCCGTTTCTTGGTTTCAGTGTTGCTGTGAGGAAACTGTGCTTGTATCTCATGAAGGTCAAATAAAAAGCCGGTGACTTATTCACGGGCTTTTCCGTGCGATGTGCTGGGTGTGGAAGGGTGCCTGCTCTGCGTTACCAGCCTTGGCTTGTGCGTTGTGCTCTGCTTCTCTTTGCTATTTTTGTCCTATTGATCTGTCTCCAAGTATTTCTGCCTCCACTTTATTTGTAGTTGAATGGCACAACATCTGCACATCCACCCCGTCATTTCTGACTAAACAGGGCATCATTTTTTTTCTCCTCTCTTTAAATAGGCATCCAACCTCATGAACAACCCACAAGTACAACAGCTGTAAGTTCGATCCCGTCTTGTATTTCCTCTCTGAATCACTCATCCGAGGCTCTGTGTGTTTGGCATTTGTGGTGGGTCTGGGCGGGTGGGAGGTTTTTTTTCAGGGCTGTGCAGGGCAGCCTTTAGACCAGCGGCCTGAGCTGGTGTGTGTTTGAGTGCTCTGGACTGTGCTGAAGAGGAATCTTCGTGTAAATGTTTGCAGAAGGGAGGGGGCACAAAAGGGTGAATCTTTAGGAATACAGTCACTGACACTATTATAAATATTTCTACATATTGTGCAGTTAATGAACAAAAAAATAGTTGCAGAAGATTCCCTTGCAAACAACTTCCTAACCTGTGTGGGAAGGTGCTCCCGTTATGCTGACACTCCCCTCCTAGTGTGAAACAAACAGGTTTTATCCTGCACTGAGCACTGACCCTTGTTTCTGCAGCATGTCTGGGATGATTTCTGGTGGCCACAACGCCATCAGGCCCCAGCCCCTCCACGAACGACCTCGCCAGCCTCATACAAGCGTGAGTAGAGCGCTGGGTGTTTCCCGTTGCCTTGGCCAGGAGACAGATTTGGGGTTTTCTGACCAGAAGTGGAACCTTAATTTAACAGTTGAGGAAGTTCTTAAATGTTGGGTGAAGTTCTGCCTCTTTGGGGGTGTGAACGGCTTGTTAGAGGTTTGACAGTCGGCTGTAAATAATTTCCAAGCCCTGGAGCGTGTTAGTGGCGCATGGGAGCACTAACAGAACTGCTGCTTCCTCTCCTTCAGGGGCCAGCAGTTCGCTCAGCAGATGCAGCAGCAGAACCCTGAACTCATAGAGCAGCTACGAAGCCAGATTAGGAGTCGAACT